GTCCATTGCACAAAAACTTTGGTACCTTTCATTGTTTTAAAAGGGCTAAAAAATCCTTTCATTCTACTCAAACCAGGCAAATTCCTACATTGAAGAATATTTTTACTCTACCCTATCGCAATGAATTTGTCCCGTTAGTTCAGTCCCTTAAATTATTAAATATTAATGTTGTTTTTAAGTATGACTCAATTATTACTAATATATTAATAAAAATAGCCCAACCTTGCTTGTAAATGGAAGTGTTTACTGCATTCCATGTAGCAATTGTAATGGAAATTATGTAGGACAGACTGGGAAAGCATTGCAACTCAGAATTAAACAGCACAAGTACAATATTAGAACAGCATCTGAAAGCAGTGCACTGTTCGTTCATGTTAGGAACAATAATCATCCCATAGATTGGGCAAACAGCTTAGAAGTGTACAAATCATCATGTGTCACAGAAAGACTTCTGGTTGAAGCAAGTTTTATTAGGGAATTGAATTTTATAAACCTTAGTGATGGTCAGTACAAAACTGATAATATGTTACTGTACACAAATTTATTTGTCAGTGGCCCAAAGTTAAAAATGCTTTGAAAGCATTCAAGTTAGATGTAGGATAGATGATTAGTTGGTCCCATATTTTTTACCTGACTTAACATGACTAGTCACGTCGCCCTTTCTCTTAAGCTCCTTTGCGTGTGTGGTGGTGTTGGTGTGCGGATTAGTGGATGTCATGTTTATGACCTGACCTCATGTTTAGTAAGGTCACCCTGTGTACTTAAGCCTCTCTCGGTCTTTGTAATTCAGTTGCCTCTGAAGATGTCTTGAATAAAGACGAAAGCTAAGGTGCTCCATTGTTTCCCTTTTTCCTGTGTGATTTTATCAAGATTTATCTGATCTACATTTTCATTGTGGATCTACAATATATATATATATATATATATATATATATATATATATATATATATATATATATATATATATATATATATATATATATATATATATATATATATATATATATATATATATATATATATATATATATATATATATATATATATATATATATATATATATACACACAGGGTGTTCTATAAATACCCTTCATAATTCAGGGGGTGTATTCCTGAGACGTAAATGAAGATAAATGACCAAATTCTCAATAGTTTCGGAATTACAGCATATAACACGTTTGGTAGAAATGTGATGAAACCTACGGTCACCAGAAATAAATCTCCTTGATTTCTACCTGTGGGGTCACATAAAAAGCAAGGTGTATGTTACAGAGGTCCACAAACCGTGAGGAATTGTGGCGTCCTGTACAGGACCAGGACAGTGTGACAAACATTCATAACACCTCTGTGGTCTTTGAACGTGTGCGACGGGCTGAAGCCTGCGTTGACCAAGAGGGGCAGAACTTTGAACATTTGCTCTAAATGTTAATCCCAGTACAAATCATATGGCATTATTATTGTTAATAAGCAATACTAACAGCAGTGGATGTTTCATTTACACCCCATATATGAATTGTAACAGTCATATACTGTAGGCTTTATCACATTACTACCAAACCTGTCATGTGCTGTAATTCCGAAACTACAGTCTCTCCTCGACTTACGACATATTCGATTTACGACAACCCGGACATACGACGGCCAGGATCATATAAAATATTTTTCACATTACGTATTTTTGAGTCCCGACGTTAGTTATTGATCTGTGTACTGACAAAATTTTCGTTTGTAATTCCCTTTAAAATGGCTGGCAAGCGTAAAAGTGAGAGTTCTCGTGGTGCTGAGAAAAATAAGACACACCCATTTTAGAATTTCTGTATTATATTCGTCTTACGACCTGGTAGTCGGGACGGAACCCTGTTGTAAGTCGAAGAGAATGTACAGTAAAACCTCGATTAACCGACCACATATGGAGGGAAGGGGCTGATGGATAATCCAAAAGGTCGGTTAATAGTACATAAAGTCTACGGAAATAAAACATACATTTTCAAAGTACCTTTCCCTAACCTACCTCATTTAAGTCCCTCTATACATTTTTGTTCATTTGCCATTCATATTTCAATAGAATTGGCTTTAAAACATTAACCACTTTAGTAAATAAATATGAACCAGCACAGAAACCGTGAATAAAAAATGGAAAAGCCAAAGAACATGTCATCACAAAAATTGTGACCAAGTCCCAGGTTGCTGATCGGACTTTCTGCCTCATTTACACACAATTGCAGGGTCTCAATTGTTTCTCTTACTATTGACAACACAACATACATACAGGTACATTGTTTCTCACTCTTGATTTTTTTTCATTTTTGCATTTCTTTATGGTTCTTTATTAATATTAATATTATTATAATTATTATTATTATTATTATTACTATCATTATTAATATTATTACAATATCGTCCCCCAGGCCCCGATGTGGGTCAGTGACCTGTGCCCGGGTGGGCTAATCCTTATATATATATATATATATAAAAAAAAAAAAAAAAAAAGGAGTTCGGGATTGACGGTTAACTCGAAAGTCGGTTAATCGAGGTTTTACTGTATTGAGAATTGACAATTTGGTCATTTATCTTCATTTATGTCTCAGGAATACACCCCCTGAAATATGAAAGGTATTTATGGAACACCCTGTGTGTGTGTGTGTGTGTGTGTGTGTGTGTGTGTGTGTGTGTGTGTGTGTGTTGCATGCCAAATACTGTATGTGTAGCACACCATGAATAAAGCCCTAGCTCATATACAGTAAACCCTCAATTTCTGTAGTATTTTTTTTTTTACAGTTTTGCTTACATACAGTCAGTCAAATGTGAACTTTTTTTATACACTGTATAAACTCACTATTACTGTACATGGATCAGCAAATTTCTACAGTTGACATTCTTGCTTTGTCCATGACCAGCTTGTCATGCCTCTGATGTTCTGTACCAAGATTTGAAATGTCCATAGATAATGAACACTCCCCTTATTTAGTGGTTTATTTATAATCAATCAAAGATTTACCACCCTGGTTTCATAGTCGGCCAATTTCATTTGGTAATATTTTGGTATGATGTATGAGATTAGATTGAAAGTTCAAGAATATTTTATAATAATAAACTATTCATCGTTATTTAAGATCACGATTAATTTATAAATGCTCGTATATTTGCTTAAATAATGAAAAAAAAAAAAAATAGGAATCTTGTGGAAGCCCGGGTTGTATTTGAGTTGCCAATCCAATTAATATAATTTCTTCATTATTTAAGCAAATGTACAAACGTTTGGAAATTTCTCACGATCATGTATAACGATGAATAGTTTATTATTACAAAATGTTACCTCTGGATTGTTTAATATTTATCCTGACAGTGATAAAACTGAAAATAGATCCACCAATCACACATCTCCATTACATACAACCTTACTTTACCCAAAAAAGTAATGACAGGTAAGATTGCAGGTCTGAGAGCCAGGGTGGGGATCGATGCATCTTTGGTTGACTGTGCATACTGCCTGTTCCCTGACTCTACCTTGGCTCCTCGACCCATATAAAGATAACAAAGAAAATTTAAATAAAGCTTAAACATTACAGTCAACAAGTTTTTTATTCTTATTTTTTTAACACCAAGTTTATTATTAATGAAAAAGTTATTTCTTGTAGAATGCAATGAAACACAAAGAAAATTTTCTTTAAAAGAGAACTGGTGTGATGGACATTTATATATACTGTACTGGCCAGCTGATGACAAGATCTACCTTACCTATAGCCAGTCATGGGTAAATAATGAGCCTGGAACCTAACACCCATAGCCCCTCCACCCAGGTTACTCACATTCACTTTGTACAATCTGGTGTTTTCCTGGGCGTATATTGAGAGTTTACCGCATAAGATTAACAACACACAGCTCATGTGATTTAGAAATGTACATATTTATGAATGGAAACTAAGAGCAATCTATCACTAAATGCACAGTACTATGCAAGGTACAGGGGCTCACCAAGCTGGTAACCATATAACTGCCCTTAGAAAAGTTACTGTAAACATCATGACTTTATACCCAATCCATGTAATTAACTTTACAGTTACAGTACAGTACTTAGTAAACTCCATATATTAACAATAATGTTGATGAATATATTAATACCACACCTTTGACTGTGTTTTTGATAAATATATAAATTTGGAGTGAGGCCAAATATTCATATTGTGAAACAACAAATGTCTCATCCTGATCAAGGTTGTGCTGTACAGTACTGTACTTGTAAGTGAAAGAAGGGGTGGTACTTCATTGTAGATGAATGTGTTCTGCACAGTAGTAATTCATTCGGTATACAGACGTCCTGCTGTATATTTTTTTTAACATATTTTAGTTTAGCTGATTATTACCATTTAATAGCGGGAACTGTTCACGTTTTCTTTTTCGTCAAGGATTTTGATTTAAGTTTATATAATATTGTACATAACATGAGAGGTTTCTTTCTAACACTACAAAGTTCCTTAATGTTTCTACTTCCACTATGGACAGCAGCTATGGGATAGCCTGTTTAATGGTCTTACACAATAAACAGTTACATTAAAGGTACACACGCACAACAACAAAATGTCAACATAAATTACTTACTTACATTTGTTCAGTATTGGTGGAGTGTTTAACTAAGCATCACAGATGTGGTGACGTAAACAGTTATGTGTTGAAGTAGACAGTTATGTGGTGACGTAAACAGTTATGTGATGAAGTAGAGTTGGCATGGTGTAGAGTTATGTGGTGGTAGTTATGTGATGATAGGTTATGTGATGAAGTGAACAGTTATGTGATGAAATGGGGATTATGTGGTGAAGTAGACGGTTATGTGATGGTAGAGTTATGTGGTGAGTAGACAGTTATGTGATGAAGTAGAGGTTATGTGGTGAAGTAGACAGTTATGTGGTGAAGTAGGTTATGTGGTGAAGTAGACGGTTATGTGATGATAGAGTTATGTGATGAAGTGGGGTTATGTGGTGAAGTGAACCAGTTATGTGGTGAAGTAGACAGTTATGTGATGAAGTAGAGTTATGTGGTGAAGTAGAGTATGTGGTGAAGTAGACAGTTATGTGATGAAGTAGAATTATGTGATGAAGTAGACAGTTATGTGAAGTAGAGTTATGTGGCGAAGTAGACAGTTATGTGTTGAAGTAGAGTTATGTGTTGAAGTAGAGTTATGTGTAAGTAGACAGTTATGTGATGAAGTAGAGTTATGTGTTGAAGTAGAGTTATGTGATGAAGTAGACAGTTATGTGATGAAGTAGAGTTATGTGGTGAAGTAAACAGTTATGTGATGAAGTAGAGTTATGTGGTGAAGTAGACAGTTATGTGATGAAGTAGAGTTATGTGGTGAAGTAGACAGTTATGTGGTGAAGTAGAGTTATGTGGTGAAGTAGACAGTTATGTGATGAAGTAGAGTTATGTGATGAAGTAGAGTTATGTGGTGAAGTAGACAGTTATGTGATGAAGTAGAGTTATGTGGTGAAGTAGAGTATGTGGTGAAGTAGACAGTTATGTGATGAAGTAGAATTATGTGATGAAGTAGACAGTTATGTGAAGTAGAGTTATGTGGCGAAGTAGACAGTTATGTGATGAAGTAGAGTTATGTGTTGAAGTAGAGTTATGTGATGAAGTAGACAGATATGTGATGAAGTAGAGTTATGTGTTGAAGTAGAGTTATGTGATGAAGTAGAGTTATGTGATGAAGTAGAGTTATGTGTTGAAGTAGAGTTATGTGTTGAAGTAGAGTTATGTGATGAAGTAGAGTTATGTGTTGAAGTAGACAGTTATGTGATGAAGTAGAGTTATGTGGTGAAGTAGACAGTTTTGTGGTGAAGTAGACAGTTTTGTGGTGAAGTAGACAGTTATGTGATGAAGTAGACAGTTATGTGGTGAAGTAGACAGTTATGTGATGAAGTAGACAGTTATGTGGTGAAGCAGACAGTTGTGATGATGTAGAGTTATGTGGTGAAGTAGACAGTTATGTGATGAAGTAGACAGGTTATGTGTTGAAGTAGACAGTTATGTGATGAATTAGGCATTTATGTGTTGAAGTAGAGAGTTATGTGATGAAATAGACAGTTAAGTGGTGAAGTAGACAATTAAGTGGTGAAGTAGACAGTTATGTGATGAAGTAGACAGTTATGTGATGAAGTAGACAGTTATGTGAAGTAGACAGTTATGTGGAGCAGCAGACAGTTATGTGGTGCAGCAGAAGTTATGTGGTGCAGCATACAATTCGTTGTTTTGGTGTCTACCTCTTTAAAGAACTGCAGGCACATACATGGAGGAACTCTGGAAATATCCTATACATACAACATGTCACAATTTTTTTTTTAATGATATATAAACTAAGTTGATCCTTCTCAATTCAATACACAGCTTGGATCAATGTCATCTTTGGCAAAATACATAATACTTAAAAAGTACAATATTACTCAACAATATAGAAGCTCTAACAAATGGCCAGTCATCAGGCAACAAAAATAATGGTTTTGTATCTTTTTAATCGGGGAAATATTAGTAAACACACATACATATATATTACGTTTGTAAGTAACTAGTACTATTCATACTTCAAGTGAAAAGGTACTTATGTTTCATAAGAATGTCTTTTAATAAAGTTAAATACTGATTAAGGTCTGGAAGGCATTCAGTAATATTCTCATAAAAGATTCATCTAACTCTCAAATTAACTTTACACCCTCCCTCAAGCTGTCAGTGAGAATGTTCTGAACCCTCTAAGCACCATGCTCAAGCTATCACTATTAATAATTTTCTAACACATGTATACAGGTATACTTCCCTATACATTGCCTTGCTATGTTATTTCACTTATAAGTTGTTGAATAATGCTAATATTAATACTATTAATAAAAACTACTACAGTACAAAAACACAACGGCGGGCAGTGGATTTGGGGAAGTTTTAGAACTCTTAAACAGCCACTGAATCTCTCCATCTCATCCTCTTCCTTCTGTCAGTTTATCCATCACTGCCATATTTGCTAGAGTTCGTTTTTTAGAGTGAGTTAATACCATATCAAAACCCAATAAAATTAGAGCAAAATGCCCTGCATGTGATATTTTTGCCTCTGGTAAGAAAAACCTAAGAAAATTATTAATCTAGAGGTTAAATTAGGCAGAAGAAAGCTCTCCAGGTGTCTTTGGGTCAATAAGTTAAACATAAACATCCATCCTTAGATGAAGAGACAAGCAATCTTGCCACTTTACCTTGATAACACTACCACTCCCTATCCTAGCTGGCCTCTTTTCACTTCTCCTCAACTGTTTCAGTTAAGTGTTATCTGACAGATGTGCATTTTCTATCAAATATTAATTTTAACTTATAATAATATAATTTAGGTATTTAATTCATATTTGAATGAGAAACTTTTGGCCCAAAATGTCTCCCAGAACACAATCCTTATTTATACATTAGGTCTATGGTAAACTCGTGTTCACTTACTCTATGTTGCTTCACTAAATGTCATGCTTTTCAAGAATGCACAGTCAATATATAGTGAGGTATACCTGTACAGTACTACCTTTGATTATATGTAACCACTACCCTAAAACACACACAATAGTAAAGGAAAATAACAATGTTGGTTTTATTTTCCAATAATTGTTCAACCATGTCAGTGACATCTTGAACTGTTATTGGGATGTGAGGTCACTGGCACGGCATCACATAACTATCTTTATAACCCTGTTATTTACAAATTAGAAGTCACAGTCAACTAGATTGTGTGTGTGAGTTTGCCTCAAGTTAAACACATCTCTAAACACCCTTAACCAGTGGCGGAAGCGGTCAAAAATTTCTACCGGGAAACTTGTAAAAGGGCCCACTTAATCCCAAAACGTAGTCAAAGGAACCATCACTTTGGGGCCCACCGGGAAATTTCCCGGTATTCCGGTGGGCCAGTCCGCCACTGCCCTTAACACTATGGTTAGAAGAATCTGATCATGTTTACTAGTTACCTGAGCTCTTAAAAAAAAATCTCTTTCAAGAGTTGTCACAAGAAGGACTGACTATGCCATAATATCCTATAAATATACTTAAGGATATACAGTAATGCCATGCTGAGATACAAGTCAAGTTACATTACAAACATGACAGCTGGGATGAGAAATAAGTAAGAGATCATTTGTCTGATAAAGTATTCTAAGGTTAAACACTTCAAAATAACCTTTTATAAACAGAATTCAGTAAGTAAAAGATAAATATAATAAATGATAGCAATAAGTGTCTCAAATTCATTTTTAATTGTACTGAATGTTAAGAATAAGAATGACACTCAGTGAAGATAACCAAGAAGAGAGTGGCTCATGGCTGTGACAAAGAAAACCACTGAAGCAAGTGATACTCTTAACTTTTCAGTTTTCCTGGAAATAGGAACATGCAAGATTTGTCGCCTTCTGTGTCCAATAACTATATGTACTTTTATACATCTATTAAAAGAAAAACTACTGTACTTCCTTACAAGGGCAGCTGATATATATTTAAGCTAGTTGTGGTACAGTACTCACATATGTTTAAAGACATGTAACCAAAGAAAAATTATTGCCACATTAAATATCAAAATGAAGTTTCAAACAACACTCCTTTAGCACTGCTTACACTGTCAGGGGATTTCTTCTCTCGGTGTGGGACCGGCGTGCCCTGTTTGGTTTTGAGGAGAGATTCACGACGACTGTCAGGGGAACATGAATGGAGCCCTAACAAGTGTTCAGCTTCAGTTTCATCTTTCTTTTGGAAGAATGAATTGTGAGTGTGTGTCACTGAATCATTATGTATCCTTGTCTGACAATTGACACAATCTGTCTCTGAACTAGGAGATAAAGGGTTATTTCCATCTAAACAGTATAACAAAGACTGGGAGAGATCTGTATTGGGGTATAAGTCAAGAGCAGAATCAAGAGATCCCAAAGAAGCTTTGGAACACTGCCGTGAGGTGCACTTACTTGGAGGTTGTGAGTCACCGTATGCAGAATCACCGAGGTTCTCCTCACCTTCCTCTTGTCCTTCAGGATTCACACCTGACAAAGAGTTCCCATTTTCCATTTCAGATACTTCGAAGTCTTCATTATCCAAACAGTTTGTTGATAAATCAATTGGATTGTCAGTGAGTATGCTACGGCTAAGAAGATAATCTTTAAAGACGCTTGATAAAGATTCATTCATTACTTCATCTTCCTCTATCAAAAACTCATCACTGCTTTCCTTCTCTCCATTTTCCTCTTCTTCTTCCTCTGGATCTTGAAGAGACGAAGATGAAGTGAGTCTCGTGGCTAACTGAGCCAAGGAAGAAGTACTCAAGTGGCGAAAAAAGCCACCAAAGAGAGAGGTGCCTGAACTTGCTGAACTCAGAGTGCGACGAAGGGACGATGAACTCCAACGACTTAGTTTATTTTCTCTGCTGGTCTTCTTACAGCCAAATGAGGTTCTATGGTTTTTACTTTCATTGTTTTCACTTTCCAATTCACTATTAGAATATCTTTTACCAAGTTCTGGAGTAACAATACCGAGGTTTGTAGAATCTGCCAGCGGTTGGATAGGCCTTAGTGGGGAGGTGAGCTGAGCTGTTGAGTTGACGATCACAGGCGAGGTGTGAAGGTTCTCACCACCTGTACCTATTTGCTCCCTTTTCTGGTCAAGGGAAATGGGAGAGTGGGAGTTCTTCTCCTCGGGAATGATGACACTGGATAAACTTGTAGTTGAGTTGACAATGATTGGGCAACGGCTACGTGGAGTCATTATCACCTTCTGAAATATGAGAGTAATTCAGCAATAGCAGACCAAAACAGCTGTATGTATGTACTCGTATATATATATATATATATAGGCTTGTGGGCCTATATATATATATATATATAGGCTTGTGGGCCGTGGGTTCGAATCCTGGCGGGTTGAGGTGTTGATTGTATGTAGAAGTCCGCGTGCTTTATTGGGCTAATGATATATATATATATATATATATATATATATATATATATATATATATATATATATATATATATATATATATATATATATATATATATATATATATATATATATATATATATATATATATATATATATATATATATATATATATATATATATATATATATATATATATATATATATATATATATATATATATATATATATATATATATATATATATATATATATATATATATATATATATATATATATATATATATATATATATATATATATATATATATATATATATATATATAAATCCGTGGATATAAACATATATTATATGAATAGCTATATAATCAAATATATATATATATATATATATATATATATATATATATATATATATATATATATATATATATATATATATATATATATATATATATATATATATATATATATATATATTTTACAAATACAAATATGCATAGAATAAGTTAAGAGCTGTAGGATTGAACCCTGATATTCAATTTTATGATTGAGAGTTGAACAGGCGGCTATGATGTGCAGGACTCACTAGTTCATAGTTGTGACAAGAGCCAACTGTTATCATGCCTGTTCACACAACATCAGTACAGTACAATACAACCAACTTAGCTGCCTTTCAACTTACCACATTCCCTGCCATATGAGATGTACCCATAATTCAGCAGGGAATATCTAGGTAAAAAATAAATTGTTTCTCAATTAGGTGAGAGCTGTTCTAAAAAAAAATCATATAAACCTAAACAAGAAAAAACAATCAAGGACTTAAATTTACAAAAGAGCAATGCATTCCAGTCCCAGACTTGAGTCTACCTCTATTTCATGATATTTAAACAATAAACATGTAAGGTAATAAAACAATGTTTTAACTAAATACTGTACTTAAATACGTGAACTGTACAGCACTGTACTCCACCAGAAGAGGAGAGATGCGCCTCACTGAGGAATAATGTTTTCTCAGTACAGTATTATTTTCTCCTTTATGTTGGGATAATATCACTTACATTAAACCCTCATTATAGAGGAAACTGATACTTCACTTGCAATATAGCACACCCCTCTAATTACTCTCAGTTTTTGTTATTGCCTGGTGTAGCCCCACAAAAATTAAATTACAGTAAGTGGACCACTGCTTTCATCACCTGACGACAAGTGTTTACAGTGTACAGTCACTCATAACATTCACTGGCAGGTTATTACAACAGTTCACAACTCTTACTGTCACAACATTCTTTGGCAGGTTATTACAACATTTTACAAGACTTCACAATTCTTACTCCAAAGAAGTTAGGTGTGGCAATTTTCAGTACTTTTAGCTTCTTTAACCTCTGCTTCTGACCTTACAACAGCCACCCCAGTCCAAGGTAAAGCCAATATTCTCATCCTGCACAACCACCTAAATCTTATATACCTCCATTTTTTCTCTATCTGTCTACACCCAAAAGAGTGCCAGGGCCTGATGGTATCCTTTCTTTCATTCTCAATAGATCTGCACCTGAACTTACCTCTTATAGTTCCCTTATCTTGGAAATTAGCTAATGTCCAGCCTATTTACCAAAAAAATATGTGATTCATCTTCTACCAACCCCTAACTATCACCTACATAATCTCTTAAAGTCATAATCCTCCTCTTCTTTCAGATGTAGGTTATACTCTACAGCAGACTTGTTCATTCTCCTAATTCACATCTTTGTGTATGTTCTCAACACCTGCAAATCTTGACTTCTTGTCCTTGATATACTTCTTAAGCTTGTTAACCTTCCATCATTTGATCTCACTGTTTCTTCAATCTCCAGGATCTCCTCCCACCATATCCAAGTAGCTGTGGATGGTTCACACTTACACTCCTTTCCATTAATGCTGGAGTGCCTTAAGGCTTGCTCTTCACCCTCTTCTCACTGCCTTCATAAAAAGCTGAGTTAAGAATGCATGTAGCATTTAACCTCATACAGGAGCCAATGATGATAGTTGTTAGGAACACCTGACAATTTAGCTTGCAGCATATATAAATAACTATCACTTGTTTACAACATTCTTGCCTATGTAGGTACAAGTGACTCATCTGGTGTCAGCTAAAATATCAACTAAAACACATAAAAACTTTTAATTTATGCGATATACTAATCTTGGCCCAACACTGAGCAATAAAGAATAAGTACAGTGGTCAGAGTCAAGAGTGCTGTCATTAAGTCTGGTCAGCCATGGGACTTGTGGCATTTGATTGTGTTAGAAGGTTGCTTGAAAACCCTAATGTTTATCATGTAATAGCCCCTGTCTTATAGGTAGAAGTATTTATATAAATGGGTTAATTATATTAAACTTATATACTCTATCACCCTCCTCTGTAAATTTCCACTAGCTATGAGGAAGCATGTTCAGAGCTAAGACATTAAGTAGCCGGCTCTCTGGCCACCTGATGCGGGCAGTAGTTCATTATCACTCACTAGAGAAAGACGTTATTGAGAGCCATCGTGGATGGTTCCGTCTTCCCTCGAGGGAGAACGTCGGATATTCCGTTCTCCCTCGATGGGTCCCTACTCACCTCACTAAACTATCTCGTCAACAGGACGTAATTAGAAGAGCTATTTAACATAGCCTCCGTCCTCATTTAACATTCATAGCTACAGTGATTAAGTAATGGTGATATACACTTGGATCTGTATATAATATATTTTCCTTATACAGTCGGCCCTTCACATACGCGGGTTTAGCATTCACGAATTCGCAAATACACGGATTGCCCAGCCGGAGGAATATTCATATGAAGTACACTGCCACCTACACACACACACAACACCCTCACTCAGTCAGTCTCGCTGTAACCACGCTTGTGTTGACATCAGCATTGTAGTTGCAAAAATATTACATTTCCATGAATGTATTATAACAAGCACAGTATGAATAGAATATCACTAATATAACAGTATTTTAACCGAAAACTATTAAAAAAATGAGTAACATATCTTGAACATCGTAAGGTTAGGTAATGTCTTTTGTTTTCATGTAGTTTATCCTAATTTACATTGAAATACATTACGTTTCAGCAAAACTACTATTTATTTCTGAGAATATGGAAATGTAATATTTTTGCTGAAATGACGTATGTATTACATTGGAAAGTGACGAAAACAAAGACTTTCGCTTTCTTTCGTTCAAAAGATGTTTCCGTAATCGCTTTTCGAATGGTTTTCAGTTAAAAAACTGTTGTATTACAATAATATTCTATCCTAATTCACTTGTGATGCAACAGTTTTTAACTGAAAACCATTCGAAAAGCGATTACGGTAACATCTTTTGAACGAAAGAAAGCGAAAGTCATTGTTTTCGTCACAATTTGATCCCACTTTCCACTGTAATACGTACGTCATTTCAGCAAAAATATTACATTTCCGTGAATGTAGTATATCAAGCACAGTATGAATAGAATATCATTGTATTTTAACCAAAAACTATTAAAAAAACGAGTAACATCTCTTGAACATCCGAAGGTTAGGTAAAGTCTTTTGTTTTCGTCATGTATTTTATCCTATTTTACATTGAAATACATCACATTTCAGCAAAACTACTATTTATTTCTAAGAATATATTCATTCAGTCACAGTTAAGGTAAAATATACTTGTGATGTAATATTTTAATGAAAATACCCGGTATTTAGAAATACGGTATCATAGTTTTCTTTTGTTTCAAATTTAATTAACAAAGATTGATGTTTCAAATGTAATGAAAAAAAATTTATGTATCTATAAATAAACTTTAAAAAATGAATACTTTATGTTTCACATCATCCTGTGCTACCATACCATGCATTTGGCTACTTTGGGCTTGCTATGATGACGCAAGAGATCTGCCCCGGCAAGTGTACCGACACTCACAGCTGGTGGTAAGTAGTTTCCATTGTTTACTGGTAGTTACTGGTAAATATTTTTCAACCTAACGAAACTTTTACCCGTTTAGAGGTTGACCCCCAATTTTTTGCCAAATAATTTGGTCTTAAAAACTCGAACTACACACAGGTATATACGGTAAATAAGGGCATGGGGGGCAGCAAAAGTACACGGATTTTTAACATTCACGGGTATCTCTGTTACCTAACCCCTGCGTATGTTAAGGGCCGACTGTAAATAAAAGGAAGACAGTTAGGTTTTGCTACTAAAAAAGCCAAGCTACTATTGCCAGCCCCAACATGGTGGTGTCAAGAATAAAGAAAAGAGACATCTAACAACCAAGCAACGATCCAAGCAATCAGGTCATAGGTGGCAGCAAAGTGGTAACGGATAACAAAATTCCACAAAACAAGTCATAAGTGTTTTTACAAAAAGAAGAGAAAACCGTGACATGTTATACTCTTCCAAAGTGTATTATAATATCCCGTAGTGAGACGTTATACGTCGATTGATTTTTATTTTGTCATCCAAAGAGATGTACAGGTACAAGTTTCTTTTTCTTACTAACCATTAATGAGTTATTGATAACTTTTACCTATTGTGGCAAGTCGGCAACACCCCTGTATGGCAACCAGGCGTGGCGGAGAAGAATCTGTTGACACATCATTCAACATCCTGTGAGCGAATGCGGGTCAGTGACCTGTGCCCGGGTGGGCTAATCCCTGGGGGGGAGGGGGGAGGGGGATAAGAAAAAGAAAAAAAAGAACACCTTCATTTCCCTAACTCTCCACCTACTACTGTAGGTCAAGCTGTTTATTGTCATTTCTCAACTCACATTTTCGGGGAGATACACGTAATTTTTTTTTTTCTTTTACACTATCAAATACACACACTTGTTCATAAAAAATGTGTAAAACCAAAAAAAAATAAGAAATTATTCTCACAAGATAAAAAACAAAGAGAATAAAATCTTCTTACGTACATGGGAGTAAACCTTCTTGCGCATGATGGCACGATTCACTTGCGTCATATACATGATAAGACCAACTTCACGGTGATGCAAATTGAGTCACCAAATTTAAAAAATTGGTCAAAAATTCAGTTTTCAACAGAATTGTGTCAAACTTTGATGCATCATAGTAGCAAGTAAGTTCTATCAAATAAACTAATTGGCAACTCTCAATGCCCAGAGGAAGGGAAGACCGGAATGATAAATGCACAGTATTATCTCAGCAGTCAGACCGTGAGCCGCATCCATTTAAATTTCCATTAATCCGTGCAGGCTGCCTCAACCCCTGGATAACAGTGCTTACTCTACTCCCTGAAATAATTTATTTTTAGTGTTAGAGAAGTGAAGTGATGGTTGTGTAAGGAAATATTTTGTTAATATTTACAGGGAAAGTGTTTAGTTTTCAAAAGCCGTTACCGTATCAGGCTATACAACCTCGTTATAGTGACAATGTCTCGGAAAAAGTCTCTGAAAGAGGAAGATTTTCTAGAACTCCTGTTTAGTGACATTGAGGATCAGTGGATAGTGATAATAAAGAGCCTGGTAGTGAAAATGATCGTGATAACAACAAAGAAAGTCGTGAATCTGAGGGAGAAATTGTGACGGTTGTATCCAAGTCATCACGCGCCTCACCACCAGAGGCTCCCTCTACCACCACCTCTACCACTACCACCACCACCACCACCACCACCACCACCAACAATGTACCACCACAACCTTCCACATCGCAAGCATCTCCTGCATTATGTAAGCCTCATACCACCCGCTACCTCCCTTCCTCACCACCCCACCGCATGCCTCCCACGGTCACCTAGCACCAGTGGCGGCTCCAAATTTTCTATATAGGAGGGGCTTAGGGATGGCAATCTGTTTGGAAGAGGGGGCTAGGGGACTTGTCTCGAATCTGCGTTTGCAGAGCAAGCACACTATTTTTACTTGGAATATATATTACACATCAATAAAAATAGCAGTTTTCTGAAGATGCCAAGGGGTGGCTTTGGGGGAGCTGATGGGGAGGCTGCAGCCCCCCCAAGCCACCACCACTGCCTAGCACCTTCCAGCTCCCACACTCCACTTATCAGCTATGCTACAATGGAATCCCTCTCCTCCTTTACTCCATCTAGAGCTCTTCAAGACCCTTATATTTCTAATTCTCCTGGTCTTACTGTTACTAGTCCCACTTCGCCCTCTGCCTTCATTCCTCCTGAGCACAGGCAACAATTACGTCATTCCACCCCCTCTCTTGACCTTTTCATACCTCCTGCCCTGATCTCCCCTACTCCAGCACAACCACAGCCTTCGTCATCACAACAACTACTACAGCCTTTACCACAACAACTTTCACCACTATCACCACCTTCAGCAGACTCCTCACAACAGTCACCTCCCAAAAGACGGTGTGGATGGAGAGGGGCTAGACGGGGGTCTGGGGGGAGGCCAAGAGGTTCTCGAGGGGCTCGGTGAAGAGGTGGAGGTCATACACTACCCCGGGGTGCAAAACAGCAGGCCCTTCCCTCCTCCACCGGTACAAGTAATACACAGTGGAGCGCATGGCCATACACTCCCACAGACAGCCCATTCACTGGAACTCCAGGTCTTCTCGTCACAGTTCACACAACTCCCCTGCAGTTCTTCCAATTATTCTTCACAATGGAGTTGCTGGGGTACCTGACTGTGGAGATGAACCAGTATGGTGCCTTCATTGGTACAACTGCAAGCCCTGTGTGGTGAAGAGGTGATGGCCGAGCTCCTGGGGCTCTTTTTCCTGATGGGTGTGGTTGACCTTTCAAGCATGCAGCATTGCTGAAAGGAACAGGCAGTGCATGACTATCCCATCTTCAGGAATACCATGACAGGAGTTTGTTTCTGTGCCATCCTGAAGTGCTTCCATGCCTTCAACAGTTGTGCCGTGCCTGAAGACAACACAGATCGCCTTATCACAGTTTGCACAGTGATGTCCTACCTCCTTAGTCATGCTAGCAGAGTCATTGTCAGGCTACATATGGAACATCCAAGTGTACACCGGTGAGACGAAAGCAACCTCCACCACCGTATCGGAACTCGTCGAACCACTCAAGGATTTCAGGTACAAGGTATTCATGGACAATTGTTATAACTCAGTGTCCTTGTGCCAAACTCTCTTCTCTCACCAAGTGTTTGTGTGCGACACACTACGACTGACACCGGACGCTCCTAGGGACCTTCAAAAGCTGGGGGAGAAAAAGAACCTGGCAGACGGTGAGGTGCAAGCAAGACACAAGGGGAATGTCATGGTGTTGTTATGGAAAGACAATTGCATTGTCAGTATGGTATCAACCTTCCACAGCACCAACACCATGACAAAGCAGGTGCACACCAAGGTGAAGGGGCAGGACCGCAAGTTCCACCACATCGAGAAGACCATCAACAAGCCTGTCATGGTAGAAGACTACAATGGGTGGGATGGACCATTACAACCAGATGGTTCATTACTATCACATCCAAAGGCGAGCCTTCAACTGAACCAGGAAGTTCACCTTCTACCTTAAACAGATGGCCCTTTTCAATGTGTTTGCATTATACAAAATGTATTCTCCTGACACCCAGAAGATGGTGATGCTGGATTTTCTGGAGCACATCTTCGAGAAGTTCCTGAAATTCAGGCCGGAGAACTGGCCTGACTCAGGAATGCCTATCCACCACACTCCTGATGTCCGCAAAGCACGTCTCCAATGGCAGACACGGAGACGTGAGACTGCAAGGGACACCACCGCTGCAGCACCTGCCATCATTATTGCAACACCTGTCACCTCTACTGCTTCTCCTGCCATCACTGCTGCTCCATTGGGGACTCCTGGCCCCTCTGCCACTCCTTCAGCTGCATCTCAGGCAACAGTACCGAGGCAAGGAGATGGACAGGGTCCACAGGCCAAGTGACGTAAAGTTTTGGATACAGACCAACGCCTTCATGCAACACGTGGCCACAGCCGAGAGAGAATCCCGGACAGGAGGCGACTGCGGTGCCACCTGTGTTACCTGAGGCACGGCCGTAAGAGGGACACATGTGCCCTGTGTGTGACGTGCCTCTGTGTCTTGGAGATTGCTTCACTCAGTACCAAACTGAGCGCAATCTCCTGCCATAACGCACAACACACACACTCATAACACCATCTGTGAGGGAATTACTACACCATGTCAGGTCCCTCATAACACCATCGGTGAGGGAGTTACTACACTACGTGTTTGCTGTTCAACACCTCAGAGCATGTGAACTACGTGACCTCCAATGTAAACATTATTCTGTATGTTCACTGTTATGTTCCTTTTCCTTTCTCTAATGAAAGCTTTTGTTAACCCCGTGTGTCTTTGTATGTAATAAGTCGTTTATGTCCAACGTATATTTTCAGCCGTTAACAATATAATTAAACAACTTAATGTACATAAAATACAATCTTGATATGAAACATGTGTACAGAGTGTACACAAGTTGAGGCTCTGGTAATCCTAAGCTATTTCTTCACATTTTTCTTAATTATCATAACCTAAAACAAAGACAATACTGAACTGCAATAATAATAATAATAATAATAATAATAATAATAATAATAATAATAATAATAATTCAATATAAAATAATAAAAAGAGTTAGATATGCAAAGCCATCACAAGCAAGCAAAATAATAAAAATTTATTGAAATTATAACAACTAAGCTCATTTTATGGTTTCCTTGCCAAGCCTTTTATCAGGAAAACATGCATAAAAGAACAGGTTAGAGATAAGGCAGTGAAGGAGTTAATACCTGAGGGATGCTGGCTCTTATCATAGCCTGGGTTATGGGAGAGTGTACTTCCAGCTGAGGTCCAGCAGGGGTGGACACTACAATCTTATCCCAAGGGGGACCACTTTCTTTAGCTTCCTCCAGTGTGGTAGAGGCAAAGTTGAAAGTAGACTGGGGGAATCCTTCGGCCGTGGTGCTGAGAATGGACTCCCCATACTCAGTCTCTCTGGTAACTTCCAGAGTGTCACAACTCGAGTCCAGAGAAAAAGAAGGGAGGGGTAGAGGGGACACTGGCTCATTATAGGAACCTTGATCTGAGGAAGGTGAACCACAACGTTCTTTGGTATCAAGTGAGGGAAGGGGTTGTCTTGTCACTTGAGAGAAGTGGGACAGGGGATGGAGTGCTGTGTGAACAAAGGAGGAGAGGATGGAGTGGTTGACCAAGGAAGTAGCTGTAGGAAGGTAGGCGCTAATAGTAGAGGACAGATCATCGAGGGATTTGGCTTTTAACTTGCTGGGAGTGCCAAGCTCAGGGTTACGACGGAACATACGTAGCTCAGGGGATCTGGTGGAGGGACTCTGCAATGCACATGCAGCAAATTAATAATGAAAATTTAAGTAGAGATTAGGTGGTGCATTATGCAAAATATGAGAAATAGCAAATGCAAACAATATAAAGCTCAAGCTAAACATATATTAAACATGTGTACATCTATAGAATATAAATGCACACACATGTACATACATACATACATACACACACACATGTATACACACGCACACACACATGTACACTACATCCATGACCACCGAAGGGTCAAGACGTACCTGGCGTTCCTCTCGGAGCAGCCAGGTCAACTGTTAAGTTGGCCCATATCAACTCCCTCCCCTGAACCCTCCTCCCCACCGGAATATCAACAAGTTCACGCCAGAAGTTACTATTTCATTTAGGAAAGGAATGGAACCAGTGTTAAACAGAGATGAACAGTGGTGAACAGTGCTTAGTCAGTGAGAACAACTCAACAGTAACAGTCGCACCCAAGTTAACCTTCACACAGTGAGGTCCCAGGTACCCAGTGATAATGGCCCGTGAGACCCATCAACCAGCGATGTGTTAATCCGTCTACGATAGGAAGGCCTGGGACCTCATATCACTTGTATAACACTGTCTGTGAGGGAATTACTACACCACGTGAGGCCCCGCATAACACCATCTGTGAGGGAATTACTACACCACGTGACATGTGGGAGGGAATTACTACACCACCCCTCATAACACCATCTGTGAGGGAACTACTACACCACGTGAGGCCCCATAACACCATCTGTGAGGGAATTACTACACCACGTGAGGCCCCTCATAACACCATCTGTGAGGGAATTACTACACCACGTGAGGCCCCTCATAACACCATCTGTGAGGGAATTACTACACCACATGAAGCCCCGCATAACACCATCTGTGAGGGAATTACTACACCACGTGAGGCCCCTCATAACACCATCTGTGAGGGAATTACTACACCACGTGAGGTCCCTCCTAACACCAGCTGGGAGGGAGTTACTACACTACGAGTTTGCTGTTCAACACCTACAATAATCTGTATGTTCACTGTATGTTCCTTTACCTTTCTCTAATGAAGGCTTTTGTAAAACCACCAATGTATGTAATAAGTCATTTATGTCCAATGTATATTTTCAGCCTTCGGGCTGCAGAACTTTTTCAATAAACCGTCAATTATTATTATTATTATGTACACTCGGTAAAAAAAATACCTTACAGGTGGGGTCCGATGATTTTCCAACTGAATATTCCCGTTGTCTCGCAAGGGTCAGTAGGCCTGAATGCGAGACATTTTGTACTTAATTTGGCAGGCTGAAATTAGCTATTTCATTGACAATACAGTGGTCCCTCGGTTAACAAATGGTTCGAATAACGAATTAGCTCCCATAAGGATTTTCAGTTCGATTAACGAACAAAACTTCGATTAATGACAGCCTTAAGAGAAACACGTTTTGTTGTGCACATCAGCCGATCGGCTAGTTCGCCAATACAGTGGTCCCTCGGTTAATGAACGGTTCGATTAACGAAATTTCGGTGAACAAATTATCTCCCATAAAGATCTTCAATTCAGTTAAAAACAAAACTTTGATTAATGAAATCCTTACAAACATCACGTCTTGTTGTGAGCATCAGATGATGGGCTAGTCTGCCAATTCAGTAATCTGTTCTATGTTTACATTCATTTCCAGTGGAGTAAATATCAAGAAGTTGTGCTCTTTAATATTTTTGCATTTTTTATGTTAAAATTATTAGTCATTTTAACATTTATTTAACATATTGATAATATATGCAGTACAGGGAACTAGTTTTTTGTGCACCCATCAGATGCTTGACTCAGCCACCAGGCATCAGTTGGGCTTTGTTGACAGTGGAGTGAACATCTATTTTGTTGGTGTCTTGAATATTTTGCATTTTTCATTGAAATTATTGGTCATTCTGAAATTTAGTTAACATATTGATAATATACAGTGCAGAAATTATTATGAAGCACAAAGAAGGCATTAGAACACAATGCACTCTGTAAAGAATATGGCATGTCATCATCGACTGCCTCTACAATCAGCTGTTTGATATGTAAACAAAGCTGGCAGGAATACAACATACACACCTCAAAATAAGTTAAAATACAGTACAGTATTCTATTGTTTTTATTTATTATTATACAGTACATTATACTGTACAGTACAGTACTGTATTTAGTTTATATTTAATGTTTTGTTTATTCTATTACCGGTATACAGTACTTTGTATGTACTTTTTCTGTGAGTTGGAACCAATTACCCAATATCCCATTGAAATAATAGATTCGGTTAACAAAATTTTTGGTTAACGAACGACTCTGTGGAACCAATTGTGTTAATCGAGGGACCGTTGTATTGAATTACTTTGTTATAATATGACTGGAGAATGTCAGTATATCTAGATAAGTTGAACTGTATATTATATTAAATGTTCCACACACACTATAGACTACAGTAACCATGGAAGTGGAGGAGTTGCCATACAGGAATGTATTATATGTTTGGCAGAATTAGTGGATATAGTAAAGGTATAAGATTATTTTGCAACAGAATTTCGAATCTGAATTTACATAAGAACATAAGAAACATAAGAAAATAAGGAGTCTGCAATAGGCCGGTTGGCCTGTGCAAGGCAGCTCCTGTCGAGAGCTACTACCACTCTCTATCATCCATGAATCTATCTAGCCTCCTTTTGAAACTTTCCAGAGTTCCAGCACTTACTATAAAGCTGCTAAGCTTGTTCCACTCGTCCACCACCCTATTTGTGAACCAGTTTCTTCCTATCTCCCTCCTAAACCTAAACTTATCCAACTTAAATCCGTTGCTACGAGTCCTATCCTGCTCGGATATTATAAGAACTTTATCTATATCCCCTTTATTGATTCCTTTCACCCACTTAAATACTTCTATCATATCTCCCCGCACTCTTCGTCTTTCTAGGAATGCAAGTTAGTTTCTTTAACCTATCCTGATATGGAAGGTTTCTAAGTCCCGAATCATTTTCGTCATTCTTCGCTGCACCGACTCTAGTGAATTGATATCCATTCTATAATAAGGGCACCAGAACTGAACCGCATAATCGAGGTGCGGCCTGACTAGCGCAAGATATAGTTGCAATAAGACCTCTGCACTCTTATTACTTACACTTCTAGACATAAAACCCAATACTCTGTTTGCCTTATTTCGAACATTAACGCACTGTTTTCTAGGCCGTAGGTCCGGGCTTACAAGTACCCCTAGGTCTCTTTCACAAGTTGACTTCTCTAGGTTGATGTTGTTAAGGCTGTATACATTGTCAGTATTTGTTCTTCCAATATTAAGTACGCTGCACTTGCTGGTGTTGAATTTCATTTGCCATTTTTCAGACCACCCCTGCAGTTTATTTAGATCCTCCTGTAATGCATTTGCATCCTGCCCTGAATTAATCTGTCGCCCTATTTTGGTGTCATCCGCAAACTTGCTTATGTCACTGCTGATCCCAGTATCTAGATCGTTTATGTAGATTATGAACAAGAGTGGGCCTAGTACTGACCCCTGGGGAACCCCACTGGTTACACGGCCCCACTCAGATTTAACACCATCTACGCTGACCCTCTGCGTTCTATCGGTGAGCCATGATTTTATCCAATTTAAAACTTTCCCCTCGATACCATGAGCCTTAATTTTTCTTAGAAGCCTCTGATGCGGTACTCTGTCAAATGCTTTGCTTAAGTCTAAGTAAATAACATCGTAATTTTCGTCATTATCTACTACCTCGAAGACTTTCCTAAAAAACGTCAGCAGATTTGTTAGACAAGATTTTCCCTTTGTAAACCCATGTTGCGAGTCGTAGATTAATTTGCTTTTCTCTAGATGCGATCGGATGCTATCTGCTATAATTGATTCAAGAAATTTCCCCACTACTGACGTCAAACTGATCGGCCGGTAATTTGACGCTGATGCTGTCTCCCTTTTTGAATATGGGTACTACATTTGCCTGTTTCCACAAGTCTGGCACAACTCCGGTGTCTAATAATTTTGTAAATAAATTTACAAGGGGTCCGCTAATCTGTTCCCTACACTCTTTCAAGACTCGAGGGAAAATTTCATCCGGCCCTGGGGATTTTGTCTTCTTTAGTTTATTTACCCTCTTAAGAACATCCTCTTTTCTGATACTGATATTCTTTAATTTCTCTTCTTCCTTTCCCCTAAATATCAGTTCCATCTCTGGAATTTCCTCGCAAATTTCTTCTGTGAAAACTGATAAGAAGTAGTTGTTCAATGCTTTGCTTATTTCTTCACTGCCATTTATCACTTCTCCCCTCCCTGACTTTAAAGGCCCAACTTTGTCCTTGACTTTTGTTCTATATACCTGGAAAAATCCCTTGGGATTCGCCTTGGATTCTCTTGCTATTTTGACTTCATAGTCTGTCTTTGCTTTCCTTACATTTTTCTTAACATTCCTAGATAGTTCATTATACCTATTTCTGAGCTGCTCCTCCCCTCCCTTTAATTTCTTATAAATTCCTTTCTTTATTCCTATGTCATGTTTAAGTTTTCTGGTCATCCACCTTGGCTCATTCTTATTTGACCTAATTTTTCTGTATGGTATATTTTGTTCTTGTGCTTTATGTAGTATACTAGTGAATATATTATAGTCATGATCAATTGTTGTGTCATCTATGACCTCACCCCTTCCTACTGGGGACTGACGCGACTGTTCCCAGGTGACCTCACCTAGGTACCTTCTTAATCTCTGATAATCCGCCAACCAAAAGTTTGGGACTTTGGCCATATTGTCATTGTTTTTTGTTTCCCAATTTAGGGTGAACCTGATTTCTCTGTGATCACTGTTCCCTAGTTCTTCCCCTACTGTGACATCTCTGATAATGTTTTCTTTATTTGTTAATACTAGGTCTAATATATTGTCACCTCCAGTAGGTTCTGTAATTAGTTGTTTCAAAATATTGTCCTGTACTGTGTCTAGGAAGTCTTCAGATTCATAGTCACCTACAATGTTGTCCCAGTCAATATTTCTGAAGTTGAAATCCCCCATAATGCACAGGTTGTTATATTTTGCTGCCCTACTCATTTCCTGCCATATGGTGACTTGGTACTACATCGTTTTGCGTCGTCCTGGACTACTTTCTACGGTACATCACCCGCTCTTGTCACAGCATCCCCAAGCGGTGCAGAGCTAGTCTCTGTTACGACTTCACATCATTCGTGTGTGCTTAAGTGCTTTTGCTCTAAAACTGTACTATAGCCATTCATAATGGCTTCCAAGCGCCCATCAAGTGCTACTGATGGTAGCATGGTGAAGAGGTAACGTAAGACCATTACCCTTGCTACGAAAATGGTTGTATTAACCCGATTTGAAAAAGGGGAACGCGCTGTGGACATAGCCGCTGTGCTTGGTCTAACCCCCACAATGGTGCGCACTATCCGGACCAACGCTGACAAGATTAAGGTTAGTGCTGGAAGTGGTTCTTCTCCGAGTGCTACTAAGACGACTCGTACTGGAAGCACTGTGATAGAGAAGGTGGAAAAGATGCTGGCTATGTGGCTGGAGGACCAGAATCAACACATTGAGCCTGTGAGCCTTATGGTTATCCAGAATTTAAATGGATTATCCAGGAAGGAGGCTACTCATTGAAGCAAGTCTTCAATGTGGATGAGACTGGTCTCTTTTGGAAGAGGATGCCTGAGAGGACCTATATCTCCAAGGAGGAGAAAAGAGCACCAGGTTTTAAAGCGGCCAAAGGCCGCTTGACGCTGCTGCTTGGCGCGAACGCTGCCTGCGACTTCAAGCCGCAGCCTATGCTGATTTCTCACGCTGCTAACCCACAGACCCTGAAAGGTTACTCTAAGGATTACCTTCCTGTGATCTACAAGGCAAACAAGGCATGGATAACCGGCACCATATTTAGCCAGTGGTTAAATGTGTACATTGTCCCTGCAATGAAGGAATACTGTGCCAAGGAGAACCTTGACTTCAAAATTCTTCTGATCGTTGACAGTGCTCCAGCACATCCTCCCAATTTCAACGACTTGCATGACAGTGTAAAAGTTGTATTTCTGCCTCCCAACATGACATCACTGATGCAGCCTATGGACCAAGGCGTCATCGCCGCATTCAAGGTGTATTATTTATGCCGTAACATTGCCCAGCTGCTCAAGGCTACAGACAGAGAAAATAAACCAAAGATCCGAGAATATTGGCGGGGCTTCAACATTCCTCATGCAATTGACAACATTGGCAAGGCATGGGAAGAGGTTTCAGAAAGTTGACTGATGGTGTGTGGGGTAAATTGTGGCCCGAGTACGTCAACAGTTTTACGGGATTCACGGACTTAGTCCCAGCTGTGAATAGGGATATCCTCAGCTTGGCTCGACAGGCAGGCTTTGATGAGCTGGAATCAGAGGATATTGTGGACGTCTTGGCATCCCATACAGAAGAGCTCACCAACAAAGATCTGCAACTGATAAGAGAACACAGTCCTGTTGAAGACGACGACGACGACGAAGAACCTCAACGAACGCTAACTTCCAAGAGGTTGGCAGAAGCGTTCAACATGTTCCAACAAGCAATGCAAATCCTTCTACTGTAGATGACGACCCAAACAGAGAACGTAGCTCAAAGGTTCAACACAGCATTGATGACAGTCTTGGTTGTTACATTGAGATCTATAATGAGAAGAAGAGTAGCACCAAGCAGTCAAGACTGGATTAATTTGTTCGTCGCAGGACGGCAGAAGCAGCTTCTTCACAACAGCTGGCAGCCGAGGAGGAGCACAAAGCAGCCGAGGAGGAGCAAATATCAACAGGGGAGGAGCAAGCAGTGGCGGAGGAACCCCAGTCAGAGCAGAAGGAGGAGGAAGAGGCAGCTGCAGTCTCAGTGACTCACCACCATCCTCCTCCTCCGCTCCACTACCCACCACACACTCGCTCCACCACCTCCGCCCATCGGTGAGTACCAATACAAACTTAATACAGTACTGTACTATACTATTTTCTATAGAAATGGCAATGATTTTCTGTATATATAATGTATTTTATGGGGCAAAGGGAGGCTCGGGAACGTAAATTCCGTATTTTATCTATTTCTTATGGAGAAAACGGATCCGCTTAACGTTGTTTCGCATAACGTCGCATTTTCAGTAACGTAACCCCGACGTTAAGAGAGGACGCCCTATACAGGGTTTCTTTTCAGAGTGCCGATCACTTGTTTCGAGCACGTGTGGCCAAACCCTTACACGCGCAGGGCTACCAATGTGAAGAATGCCTCAGGGGCCTTTTTGAAACACTTCGTTTGTAGTGTCAGTTTATTTCGCGTAGGAATTGTAACGGTAGTTTTTTACTGAGTGTACATACATACACAGACACACATATAATAATAATAATAATGGTTGTTCCTCATGTACAAGGATGGCTGGCCCTACGGCCACCTAAGCATGATTTTATTTTTAAGGTGTAGAAGCTGTCACCAACACAACAAACACACCCTAAGTTAACAAGCTGCATGACCCAGTGTCAAGGAATAGTCCGAGAAGACTGGACAACTTGCCAACTGAACTGGTTAACCATTACCTCGGAACACAATCCACAAATCGATTAACATCCAGGTTCCTAATTACTGCTGGGTAGACAGAGGCAAATGATGTAAAGAAACTTGCCCATAGTTTCACATTGCCTGGGGATCGAACCTGGGTCCACTCCCTTGCAAGGCGAGCATGCTAATCATTACACCACAGGTTGCCACACCACACACAGACTACTACTATACACATACACACACATGTATACACACAGAAAACACACACACACACAGTAATAAGTACCAATAATCATAAAACTGAAGTATCAACAGGAGCAAAGCTTTTTAATAGAAAATGATGACAACTTTTGACAACTACAACCAACCAACCTAGTGACATAACAACTCACGCTAAGAAAGTCCTCACTGTTGGTGCGCTTTACTTTGGTGCAGCTACTAGAGGTAAAAGGCTGACATTTACTCTTGCCAGATTTCACATTCTTGTGGAATAGATGTTTCTGAAACAGGTTATGAAGAAAGGTCGTTGATCAAATGGGTCCAGTCTTAATAAAACATAACCATAGAGACTTAGGTCCCTTACTGAGTCCTAGTACTTAGGTTAAGTTGGAGTCCACCTGACCTGTGATCAGGAGAAGGAACTACACCTTCTCTTGACCAGCTCTTTATGACCACATTACTTATATCCCAAAATAATTAATCAACCACTGTTAGTCAAGATTATGTTAAACAACAAAACAAGGGACAACACCGCACTATACAGTGAACCCTCTAAGATCTGGACTAAAAGGGGGGACCACCTGTCTGAAAAAGCCAATTGTCCGAATCTTCTGGTGAATGTACTAAATGTATATAAACAATAAATAATTATATAAAAAACACCAAAACTACAACACATAATATCCTGACTACTGGGGTTAGTTTTTAGACTTTTTCCAATATTACTTATTAAGTAATTATTAGATGTTTTAATTGCCTGTATGTTGGCCTGGCGAATTGGCTAGGAATTAACATACCTAGGTAGCATTGCTGATCGTCGCATTCGAGCTATATCACAAAAACTGGTTTTTAGAAAAAAAAAACGTTTTTTTTATCTCTTGTGCGAACTATGCGATATTTATACTCAAATTAATCTCTATCTTGCATGGATTCCAGCAATGGAAGACAAATTCTCTGAAGTCAAGTCTGGCATTTTATAAGCAAAAACTTTAAGCCAAAAACCACCTTCACCCTCTAAATCCTTATCACCTTCTGGCTGGGAAGAGGGGGGAGAGGGAGGGGAGGTGTTGACAGCCAAGCGGGGAGATTATCAAGTGCGTAATTACCAGTCAAATAGAGGGAGCCTAAGTTCTTTGTTTATAAAATGTCATTGACTTGACTTAGTATAATATAACTTACATTGCTGGAATTCTTGAAGATAGCGTTTAATTTGCCAGGCGAACGATCGAAAAACGTATAGGAGAAATATATGGCTTGTAGTCTAAGTTAAAAATGGTGATGGGCACAGTGATAAACAAATTATATAAACCAAGCATCTACCTATGATAACATAATAAGAAACATTGTATCATTACTAAAGTGAATGAAATAATATTCCCACAACAACAATTGACAGCTGTTTATGTTTCCCACCTCCTCGGGCACCTGTGTCCAGCATGACTGACCGGTCAACCAGCACCCACGGGCCTAAAATGTTCTATGCTCTGTTTTGGGAATGCTTCTTAGGGAGGCTTCTTAACCCAGAACCCCAATTTTTTTTGTCCGAATCTTCCAAAATCTGAATTTACCAGGTCCAGATCTTCGAGGGTTCACTATACACTAACTCATGCACACGTCAAGGTTAAGTCATGCTTTAGCTTCACTAGTGAAATGAAAAGCATAAAGCATTATAAAGCCAAACACCACAATAGCTGAACCCAAAGTGAGAATTAATATGAACAAAAACAAATGTGGTAATAAGTTAATAAAACTGCTCACTTAGTATCCTCTCTAATCTTGGTGCCAGATCCTTCAATAATAATATTCTGGATAGCTCTAAGTAGGCAATAGCATCATAGTTTTCACTTAGAGCAAATATGCATGTAAGAAATGATGATTTACCGTCTATTTACAATGTTTCTTTAACTACACTCCCAGTACTGTATATACCTCCATGGTCTATTCACATTACACATGCTCAACCATTGTAAACTTGTACGGCAATTTAACTGAATAAATAGTTATCTATCTATCTATAAAACTATCTATCTACATATCTCCTTTTCCTGACATCCCACTTACAAGTATTAACCAACAGTAATAAGACAAGAGAAACACTCTACACATCTGAGTCAGGCTACTTGAGTGTCTCCCGTTCCTGTACTTGTATCACTGAAAATACAGTAAATAATCTTCCTATACAACAGTGTGTGTGAGAAATGTTCTACTGTGAGTTTGTACAATACAGTACCTGAGTATCATCACTACAGTACAATACAGTGCCTGAGTATCATCACTACAGTACAATACAGTACCTGAGTATCATCACTACAGTACAATACAGTGCCTGAGTATCATCACTACAGTACAATACAGTGCCTGAGTATCATCACTACAGTACAATACAGTACCTGAGTATCATCACTACAGTACAATACAGTGCCTGAGTATCATCACTACAGTACAATACAGTACCTGAGTATCATCACTACAGTACAATACAGTGCCTGAGTATCATCACTACAGTACAATACAGTGCCTGAGTATCATCACTACAGTACAATACAGTACCTGAGTATCATCACTACAGTACAATACAGTGCCTGAGTATCATCACTACAGTACAATACAGTGCCTGAGTATCATCACTACAGTACAATACAGTACCTGAGTGGAGTATCAATACACTACAGTACATCATACAGTACCTGAGTATCACTACACTACAGTATCATCACTACACAATACAGTGTGGTATACAGTACAGTACAGTCATCATCACTAGTACAATACAGTGCCTGAGTATCATCACTACAGTACAATACAGTGCCTGAGTATCATCACTACAGTACAATACAGTGCCTGAGTATCATCACTACAGTACAATACAGTACCTGAGTATCATCACTACAGTACAATACAGTGCCTGAGTATCATCACTACAGTACAATACAGTACCTGAGTATCATCACTACAGTACAATACAGTGCCTGAGTATCATCACTACAGTACAATACAGTGCCTGAGTATCATCACTACACTACACCAATATCCACAGAAGTTTTACAAGGGAAACTAAATGATATAAAAATATTGAAATTTTATAAGATCACACACACACACACACAAGGTGGTCTTTTATCATTCACCCCCAAAAGCTATCAAAACAATATCAGACTCAGCTACAAACAACTACAGTACTTAAAACCATATTCAATTATAATTTTATCGTATATAATTTTTGCAGTTTTGAGATTAAATGCTTTTGAAACACCTCAACCCTTTGAAGTTTCTTCTCTTACACAAATTCAGTTTTGCTAAATGATAGAACTGCAAGGTTTAAAATATCTAGTTTTCTTCTTAAATGTAAAACAAATTGACAACTTAGTCACTTACAAATACAGTACTACGACAATTAAAGATCATCGTGTTTTCAAAGGTACATTCAATATATATATATATTGTACTGTATAGAGGAAACTAGTTACAGTACAGTATACACCAAGGTGTTGTGGTACTGTACCATACATGTAGTTGCCGCCACTATCTTACCTTAATGGATTCACCTAACCTCTTGCCTCGTGCCTCTTGTTTCTTCACTGTACTTTGGTTGAGTTGTGGGGTTCCTGAACCACTGGCGTGGTTAAATTGTTTTATCAATCTTCGCTTTTTGGCAGAATCTGGCAGGGACTGGACGTAGGCATATAGTTCAGCAAGAGCAATCTCGGTCACATCTCTTTCATTGGCTTGTGCCGTCAGTTCACGATCAATAAAAGTAAAAATTGTCTTCGCCGGTGCATCCATCATCGATCTCTGCAATAAAATAGATTTTTTCATATGGAGTACTGTACTATACTGGACACTCCTCCAATTATAAAGGTAGTGTAATGTAATGTAGTGTATTATGGTGACCTATGTGTAATGTTCAACATACTCGCGTCACAAGTGAGTGGACCAGGGTTCGATCCCCAGGCAGGGTAAAACTATGGAAAAATTTCATCATCCCATTTGCCTCTGTCTACCCAGCAGTAAGTTGGAGACATGGATGTTAATTGATTTGCGGATTGTGTTCCAGAGTAATGGTTAGCCAGTGCAGTTGGCGAGTTGTTCGGTCTTTCCGATTATTCTTTGACACTGGGTCACACAGCTTGTTAACTCAGGGTGTAATTGAGGTGTTGGCAACAGCTTCTACACCTTAAACAAATTCACGCCTAAATGGACCTCTTAAATCACTACTGTAATGTGATACAGGTGATTACGTTTTATCTCATGCAAAATATATGACGTTTATATTCAAATTATTACAGGTAGCTGCCTTGCAAGAATTCCAGCAATGCAAATTATATTCTCCTAACTTTAGTCTGAGATATTATATAAGATAAAAACTGTAAGCCTAAAACCCTGGCTTGGCAGATGGGGAGAGGGAGGCAGCGAGGGAGGGGGAGGTGAGGTGGTATGTTTGACAGTTGGAGCCGAAGGTCTTATGCGTGTTTATGTATCAGTCCTTAAGTGACTAAGCTTCTCTCTTATAAAATGCCAGTGAAATGACCTGGGAGAATATAATTTACATTGCTGGGATTCTTGTAAGATAGTGATTAATTTGAATATAAACAAGCTATAATTTGCACAAAACATAACAATTTTAGTACCGTAATCATTCAGTACATGTGCACTCCAGCTTTGCACTAAGGTCATTTATTTCTTTTAAGTTTCTTTTAGTATGGTGTGTGCATGTAAATGAATGAAAATAAATGAAGAAATTTTTGTAAATCTACTCAAAAATACAGTTGAAAAACTTTACATTATAAAATGTACTACAGCACACTAATGTACTACACTTTTTATCTCTTGTGCAAAATATATGACGTTTATATTCAAATCATTCACTGTCTTGCAGGGATTCCAGCAATGCAAATTATATTCTCCTAAACGTCTGTGATATTATATTAGATAAAAACTTATAACCACCAAACCCTGGCTGGGAGGAGGAGGGGGGGGGGGAGGAAGGGGAGGTGACAGTGACATGTTTGGCAGTTGGCACCGAAGGTCTAGTGAAGTATTTATTTGTTTATTTATGTCCTTCAGATTGAGTTTTTGTTTTTTGCTTATAAAATGTCACAGAAGTGACCGGGGAAAATATAATCTACATTGCTGGAATTCTTATAAGATAGTGATTAATTTGAATGTAAACATGCTATAGTTTGCACTAGACAAAAATTTTAGTAATCATTTTGTACATTATTTTGATTACATATACAGTTCAGCTTTGCCCTTAGGACAGTGTGTGCATGTAAATGAGTTTCATTAAATGAATAAAGTTACATATATCGAGCCAAAAATAATAGTAGAAAGAGCTTGGATGGCTAAATTTTAGAATGATCAATAATTTTAATATAAAAAATGCAAAAATATTCAAGAACACAACTTTCTTGATATTTACTCAACTGGAAACGAATGTAAACATAGAACTGATTACCATATTGGTGGACTAGCCGATCAGCTGATGCTCACAACAAAACGTGTTTGTCGTAAGGATTTTGTTAATCAAAGTTTTGTTCGTTAACCGAATTGAAGATCATTATGGGAGCTAATTCGTTAACCGAAATTTCGTTAATTGAACCGTTTGTTAACCAAGAGACCAATAAATATATATATATATATATATATATATATATATATATATATATATATATATATATATATATATATATATATATATATATATATATATATATATATATATATATATATACAGTGTACCCCACTTAACGCGGTCAATTGAACCCAGAGGGTCCCGCGTTAAGTGAAAACCGCGTTAAGTGAATAACAGAACATATGGGATTAATTCCAATAGAACCCAGCCCGACCCCCAAACTCCACTTTTTGACGACAAATAACTATGTTGTAGTAAAAATAACATCTTAATTTTATGATGGTACATGCACACAATTAATACTTAAGAGAAATACAGTCGCCAAGTTAATGTCCATTCAAATAATGGACTCAACTCCCTCCCCCTCTCACACTACAGTACACAGCCAGCTAACAGATGGTCGGTCGGTCCCTCCCTCCCCCCCCCCACCCCCCACCAACCGTCCCAAGGAGATGTGTGGGATAACCTCAAACTAAAGTTAGGAAAATATAATTGACATTGCTGGATTCCTTGTAAGACCAGGAATATTTTGAATATAAATGTCATATATTTTGGACAAAAGATAACATACTTACTCAGATTAAACATTTTATCTAAAAATTGTATGTTTAATGCAAAAAATATGTTGTTTATATTCAAAATGATCACCAAATTATAAGAATTCCAGCAATGTAAATTATATTCTGGCCGGGTAATTTGTATGAATTTTATGAGCTAAAACAAATATCTACAGTTAATAAAAAAAAAATATATTCTTCAACACTATCTGTCAATCAAAGTACCCCACCTTGCCTCCCCCCCTCTTCCAACCGCGCGGTCAGTCCCAACCCTCCCCCCCCCCCCACCAATCCTCCATTCAAGAGTTTTTAACATTTAGTATTAAATAATACCTCAGATTAAAGTTAGGATAATATAATTGACATTGCTGGATTCCTTGTAAGACCAGGAATATTTTGAATATAAATGTCATATATTTTGGACAAAAGATAACATACTTACTCAGATTAAACATTTTATCTAAAAATTGTATGTTTAATGCAAAAATATGTTGTTTATATTCAAAATGATCACCAAATTATAAGAATTCCAGCAATGTAAATTATATTCTGACCGGGTAATTTGTATGAATTTTATGAGCTAAAACAAATATCTTCAGTTAAAAAAAAAAAATAATTCTTCACTGGGTAACAGATGGTCGGTCGGTCCCTCCCTCCCCCCCACCCCCCACCAACGTCCCAAGGAGATGTGTGGGATAACCACTAAATTTTAATAAATAATACCTCAAACTAAAGTTAGGATAATATAATTGACATTGCTGGATTCCTTGTAAGACCAGGAATATTTTGAATATAAATGTCATATATTTTGGACAAAAGATAACATACTTACTCAGATTAAACATTTTATCTAAAAATTGTATGTTTAATGCAAAAAATATGTTGTTTATATTCAAAATGATCACCAAATTATAAGAATTCCAGCAATGTAAACTATATTCTGGCTGGGTAATTTGTATGAATTTTATGAGCTAAAACAGGCAGTCAGGCAGGGTGGCGGGTGGGGGGTGGTGCGAATCTAAAAATAGCTCTCGAGCCGGACACTCACCGCGTTGCTGTGGAAAAATCCGCGTTAAGTGAAAGTTCAGCTTTGGCAAGGCACCGCGTATATGCGAAAACGCGTTAAGTGAAAGCGCGTTAAGCGGGGTAATACTGTATATATATATATATATATATATATATATATATATATATATATATATATATATATATATATATATATATAAATATATATATATATCTTTCTCTCTGTCGACGTGCAAATACACCATATGATAACACTAGTTGACAAGGGTTCGGTAGCATGGATCAAATATGCTGCACTTTATTAATTTTGGGTTGATTTCAAATATGGCAATAGAAAATGTCAATCACGTTACATTTTTAAGATATATGTGTATAAGTAGTGTAGGAATATAAGATATGTACTTGTGTTGGTAGAGAATATTAAATGCAAGGTTAGCAATACTGAACAGCAAGTGGGAGGAAATGCTGTTTTCTGTGTCTATGGGACAGCAGAGCAACAGAAAAACACTACAACACAAAGGACTGGCCAAAGAGAGAAGAGTTTGTTCCAGGAAAATGCAACGTTAAATATACAGTAAGTCCTCGCTTAACAGCGTCCCGCTTAACGTTGTTTCAGTACTACGTTGCTGAACTTTAGAGACCAAAAATTTGTGTAACATCCCAGGGATCCGATACTGCATTGCGTTGCGTCGTCACGAACTACTTTCTACGGCGCATCACCCGCTCTTGTCTGGCCGTGCTACGCTCTCTCAGATCAGCGCGCTGCCCTCACTCGCGGAATGTCACAGTGTCCCCAAGCGACACCAAGCCAGTCTCTGTTACGAATTCACATCATTTGTGTGTGCTTAAGTGCTTTTGCTCTAAAACTGTACTACGTATAATCATTCAAAATGGCTTCCAAGCACCCATCAAGTGCTACTGATGCTAGTGCAGTAAAGAGGCAACGTAAGACCATTACCGTTGCTACGAAAATGGATGTATTAACCCGATTTGAAAAAGGGGAATGCGTTGTGGACATAGCCGCTGTGCTTGGTATAACCCCCACAATGGTGCGCACTATCCAGACCAACGCTGACAAGATTTAGGTTAGTGCTGGAAGTGGTTCTACTCTCGGTACAACTAAAACAACTCGTACTAGAAGCACTGTGATAGAAAAAGTGGAAAAGATGCTAGCTATGTGGCTGGAGGACCAGAATCAACACAATGAGCCTGTGAGCCTTATGGTTATCCAGCATAAGGCCGGATCCTTGTTTGACGACATGAAGGAAGAAGCGGGTGAAGGATCGAAGGAAGAGACCTTTACGGCCAGCCGAGGATGGTTTCAATGATTTAAGCGCAGGTATAACTTCCACATTATTAAGATAACTGGTGAAGCTGCTAGTTCAGATACGGATGCTGCCGAGACATTCCCGCCAGAATTCAAACGGATTATCCAGGAAGGAGGCTATTCATTGAAGCAAGTCTTCAATGTGGATGAGACTGGTCTCTTTTGGAAGAGGATGCCTGAGAGGACCTATATCTCCAAGGAGGAGAAAAGAGCACCAGGTTTTAAAGCAGCAAAAGACCGCTTGACGCTGCTGCTTGGTGCAAACGCTGCCGGCTACTTCAAGCTGCAGCCGATGTTGATTTCTCGTGCTGCTAATCCACGGGCCATGAAAGGTTATCCTAAGGGTCACCTTCCTGTGATCTACAAGGCAAACAAAAAGGCAAGGATAACCAGCGCCATATTTAGCCAGTGGTTAAACATGTACGCCGTCCCTGCAATGGAGGAATACTGTGCCAAGGAGAACCTTGACTTCAAAATTCTTCTGATCCTTGATAATGTTCCAGCTCATCCTACCAATCTCGACGACTTGCATGACAGTGTAAAAGTTGTATTTCTGCTTCCCAACACAACAGCACTGATGCAGCCTATGGACCAAGGCGTCATCGCTGCATTCAAGGCGTATTATTTATGCCGTACCATGGCCCAGTTGCTCAAGGCTACAGAATACAGATGGAGAAAATAAACTCACTATCTGAGAATATTGGTGCAGCTTCAACATTCTTCATGTAATTGACATCATTGGCAAGGCATGTGAAGAGGTTTCAGAAAGTTGCCTGATGGTGTGTGGGGTAAATTGTGGCCCGAGTACGTCACCAGTTTTACGGGATTCACTGACTTAGTCCCAGCTGTGAATAGGGATATCCTCAGCTTGGCTAGAGGCAAGCTTTGATGAGCTGGAATCAGAGCCACTGCAGACGTCCTGGCATCCCATACAGAAGAGCTCACCAACGAAGATCTGCAACTGTTAACAGGACACAGTCCTGTTGAAGACGACGACGAAGAAGAACCTCAACGAACGCTGACTTCCAAGAGGATGGCAGAATCATTCAACATGTTCCAGCAAGAAATGCAAATCCTTCTAGATGACGACCCAAACAGAGAGCGTAGCTCAAAGGTTCAACGTTGTTTCGTATAACGTCATGTTTTTAGGAACGTAACCCAGACGTTAAGCGAGGACTTACTGTATTGAACATTGCTGTTCTCACTTTTAGTCAAGTTTATGTGTGCTGTACTTTCCATTTTTAACTTGTCATTTTTTAATGTTTTAAATTAATAAAGTGCCCTGTACAAGAAAACCTAGTTCCTGCCTCTCAGTTATTTCTAGTGGGAAAAATCCCACAAGTACACTAAATTTCCAATTTTTTGAGCCAGTTTCATCAGAATTGTGAGGTGGATTATGGAGATACACAAAATATAAAGATCGCTAACTTTGACTGCGATTATCTCAAAATTGAATTCTGACATAAGTGCCCTTCTTCCAGTGAGCACCTCATATGTGAAGTAAAATGTTTTATCAGAAGGAGCCAGATACTTATTAACAGTATTTTTTTTGTAACTATACTGTACAGTACTGTATCTTACCAGCAGTTATTTAAATGTACAATTATCCAGATGTAAAACTAGAGTACTTGTTGTGGTGTTAACTTAGGATATTATTCAATGTCACCAACTTAAACAATCACTTACTTGTGACAGCTGGTGCCGCATCTTTTTCTTATTACTCCAATATTGACGGACATCATATTCCAGTTCAAGCGGAATCTGTAAAAAATTAAATAAACATTACCATCGCACATTCCCTGTTTGCTAACTGGTGTAAGTAATAACAAAGATTATACCTGTAATACTGACACTATACTGTACTCTACACACTCCCACTATACTATACAGTGGTCCCTCGGTTAACGAGCGCCTCGGTTAACGAGCTGCCTCCCTTAACATTCTTAAATTCGGTTAACGAATTTCTTACGAGCCGACCTCAACATGTTTTCGCTTGCACTGGCCGGTCAACCAGCTATAGTATTAGTCCGCCAATACATAAATTGGCTCTAGGGCTTAAATTCCTTACTATTTTAGTATATATCAAGAAGTTTATACTATTCAATAATTTTAAAAGTTTAATATTAAATTTTTTAGTCATTCTAACAATTATTGAACATAATTGAAGGTAAAGTGATTAGTTTAATGCGCGGCATCCAGCCTCTTAACACAGCAAACAGGCGTTAGTCTCTCTCTGTTTTCACTGGAGGTAACATCTTGCTTGAGACTCTCTTCAACTAAATGCTTTTTTTCTGTGTTTCCAAGCAAATTATTGGTCATTTTGAAATTTATTTTACATATTGACAATATATAGCGCAGTGCAGTGTTATTTTAAAGAAAATATTCTTTATTTACAACAAGTTTAACTTTGAAAAACACGTGTTGACATTGTTTGAATCCAGCATGGGGCCTAAGAGATCAAGAAAAGCTATTTCAATCCAAACCAAGCAGGAAATCATAAAAAAACATGAACAAATGTGCTTAGCAAAGAATATGGCATGTCGACATCAACTGTGTCGACAATTCTTGCACAGAAAGACAAATTTAAAAAAGTGAAAGTGAGAGACAAATCTACAAGAGTGTTTAAAAGTAGATCCCTAATAGCAGAAACTGAGAGGTTACTTATCATCTGGATTAGGGAAAAACAGATGAAAGGTGATTCAGTTTCTGCTGAATTCATTTGTGAGAGCCAGGGAGATTTACGAACATTTAAAGGCAGATCAACCTGGTTCTTCAGGCACAGAATTTGAAGATTTTCGGGCCAGCAAAAGCTGGTTCGAAAAATTTAAGAAAAGAAGTGACATTTTAAGTGTTGCTAGGCATGGTGAAGCTGCTAGTGCTGATAAAGAAGGGGCAGCAAAGTTTTTAGATGAATTTAAAAAACTGATGGAAGAAGAAAATTATCTTCCACAGCAAGTGTTCAATGTGGACGAAACTGGGCTGTTCTGGAAAAAGATGCCCAAAAGAACATTCATCACCAAAGATGAAGCCTCTTTACCTGGGCATAAACCCATGAAAGACCGTCTCACTCTATTGCTTGGTGCCAATGCTTCAGGGGATTTCTGACTGAAGCCTATGCTTGTCTACCACTCTGAAAACCCCAGGGTGTTCAAGCTACAGAAAGTGGTAGAACAAAGCTTGGAGTTTATTGGAAGTCCAACCGTAAGGCATGGGTGACAAGACAGCTCTTTAATGAATGGGCTGTTGCTGTGTTTTGCCCTTCTGTCAAGAGCTACCTAACCACCAATAAACTCCCTTAAAAGGCTCTTCTCCTCATGGATAATGCTCCTGGTCATGACCCTGACCTTGCCAGCAATTTGGAGTATCAATTTGACTTTGTGAAAGTGTTGTTTTTGCCTCCCAACACTTCAGGCATTCCCAGATAGTTTAGTTTCATGCATGATTTTCATCAAATCAAAAACAGGCTTCCCTTTGAACTCTGGAGAAACGTAAAGAACACTTAACTCATTCTTCAGCCTTACAGTATCAAAGAAAAATCCATACTGCTTCTCCAAACTTTTCACTGCACTGTCAGGAAACTGCTTGCAATGTTTTTCAAAAAAGTTGCTGTTCAGCAAAGAGAAGAATTCGAGCTGTGTGACTGTCTGAAACCTATCTCTTAGTTGAACTAAAATGTTATCCAAGATTTCATTGAAAAGAGCTCTGCAGCCTGCTTCATTGAACAGAGCTCTGCAGCCTGCTTCTTCCAACTGCTCACTTCTTCTGGGTCTTTTATTTGGGTTTTCATCATTTCTTCCTGGAACACTTTCCTGAAAAATCCTGTCAAAGTCGTCTTCACGAATTTTCTTAATTTTTCCAATCGGCTCTTCAACCTTTTTGGAGTAGTAGGCAATGTCCATTCCTTCTGTTTGAAGAATGTCGAAAGAACATCCGTGAAAGAAAACACGGAAGAAAAAACATTCAACGGGAAGCGAGTCTGGAATTTCTGGAGGAAAGACAAAAATCGTTGGCCCTTTAAAACACAGTCATTGTCCCACTCTGCAGGTTGATCAAGTATGTGATGGAAAAATTAGGTCAATTGGTCATAATATTCTTTCACAGTGTTGACCAATCTTGAAGAAAAATTCCATCTTGTAGGCGCTACTCTGGGTAGTTGTTTCTCAAGAAAAGCTTGAAGGGCAAATGTTCTCTTTGAAGACTTTGAGAAAAATGCTGTTAAACATGAAAGTGTCTGAAAAAATTTCTACATTTCGTGATGTTTTATGCTGATTGCTGAAGTGTCTGATTGTCAGATTTAGCAAATGGCTGTAACAGTGCACAAATATAGCACACGGGTGCAGTTCCCGTACCTTCTTATTAAAACCGTTTTGTTGACCAGCCATAACAGCAGTGCCATCGTATGGCTGAGCAACAAGTTATCCCCCCCCACAATTAAAGTCGCTCAGCAGATGTTTAACATGCTCCAGTAAGCCTGCTGAGGAACGATCAGCGCTCACATCTGTAAAATGAAGAAATCTTTCTTGAACTTGACAGTTTTGGTCAACAAAACGAAAAACAGTGACACAGTGACACAAAATCAGTTTTCTCAATATCTTCTTTTATTTGCTTCGTGATTAAGTAGCCGATTGCAGCAATCAAATCATTTTGAATGGCGGAAGATGTACCTAGGAAAATAGTTGATTCTTTCAAATGAATTTCTAACATCGGATAATAATGGCTAATCAGTACAAGTAGCTCTAAGTAATTCCCTTTATTTATAGACGTATCTGATTCGTTATGGCCTCGAAGAGGAAGTTCTTGCTTTGCTAGAAAGCATACGGCATCAATTAGTCCTTTCAGGATTTCCCGATTTTTCTTAACTTATTCATTGTGCATTTGGTCACTGATGCGTTGTTGTTCATCAAGCCGACGATCAATTCTTGTTCTTCCGAAACTATTAAGTTGCAGAAAACAGTTTATGTGATAAAAAGATTTCTCATGCCTAGAAATAGCCTATGACAAAGTATCCACATTATCAAAACTAGTTTTCGACCATACACTGTGATCAGTTGAAAAGAGCAAACACGGCCAGCAGAAGAGTTTGTTTAACTTATTTGAGCTAATCAACCAATACGCGCTTTTGTACTGCGTGATATTAAAATGCCTAACATATTCTTTGTTTTTATCTGTATGCTTCTTTGTAAGTCCTGGAATTCGTGGACACGGTCTACGTTTTCCTACGATTTCAATTTTCTCTGAAATGTTTCTTCTCGAAAACGGCTTTTCCAGCAGTTCCTTAACTAAAGAAGTGTCCTCTTCTACCACAGTTTCCATCGCAAGTAGAATATTTATAACACTATAAGTCTATAACACTCGGGTAGCAGAAGCACCACAACACACACGAGAGGAAGAATGTAAACAACACGCACGACCCACACGGACTAGCGGGTGGAGCGACACTGATGCTCCACGGCCTGGTGCATCATATCTGCCATTTCACCGTGGTATGACCGTGACGTCAGCGAGCTGCGCGCGCAGGCTTTCATCGAGGTGAAACAGCAACTACCGATGCGCTTGGGAGAGGAGCTAGCCCCGGCCTCGCTCCCTTACACAGCGCTGTTACTAAGCGCTCGGCTGCATTTTAGAGTATAAATGTAAATTTATTATTTAAGATGAATAAACAAACAAAAAGCTCTGAGCAGTGACCATGCCTAGCATGCTCAGAGGATTCGCCACTGGTCCGGATATATCCCGACCCGACTGTATTGTACTATTCTTTTGCCAGCTCAGGGATGATGTTGTTGGTGATTTTATTACAGTCAACCCTCACTACTGGCAGTTAATTCAACCCACAGGGTACCGCGGAAAGTGAGAAACGCGTAAAGTGAACAACATAACATATGGGATTAATTGAAATAGAGACCGGGCCGACCCCCAAACTCCACTTTTTGATGACACACAACTATGTTGTAGTAAAGATATTATCTTAACTTTATGATGGTATGCACACACAATTAATAATTAAGAGAAATATCAATAATATTAGTTTTTTTAACACTTACATTAGTAGAAAAGATGGCTGGGCACTGCACGGGGATGGGGGTTGGTTCGAGGCAGAGGGCAGATTATTGGCCCTCACCTGTATCACTTGTATCAATTGTATCACTATCCACCACAGTGGCTTGCAGGGCCTCTTTGTCAAACCCCTCAAAGTCCATATAAGTCCATATCCTCACTATCATTATCACTATCACTGACTTGGGCCGGCTGTGGTGGGTGGCGGGTGAAAAACTCGGTAATGTTTTGATGACTGGGCGACCTTGTGCGCACCCTGCTCGCGCCGCTTACACAACATGGCGGATGGCGGGAGAGGGCGGGAGAGATGGCGGGAGGTTTGGATCCAAAAATGGCACGGCTCGCCAGCCTCCGCGCAAAGGGGTATGACGCATCGCAGGGAATCGCAGCATTCCTGTTTCGCAGGGTACCGCAGAACGCGGAAACGCTGAATGTGGGACCGCCGTAAAGCGAGGGTTGACTGTATACAAATGAATTTTTATTTTTTCATATTATTGGAATATGTCAGTGCTAACACAGGCATCTGGAAGCTTCCCTATGTTAGTTGGTGAATCAGCAGTGTGGGTCGACGGTCAATAGTTTAGAGAAGCTCCAGAGAGGTATGGCTGCTTTCTGCACCAGTGACCTTCCCTCTGTGAGTGAAACCAAAAAGAAGTTTCTGGAGTGCGATAAACAATAATATAAATGAGTGTAAATCCTCACCTCTGATGTCTAAAATTACTTTATGTTCTGTTTTAGTGTATTTATATTAACTAACAGTATCGAGAGATTATGTCTTCATTCAAATATTTACCCACTGTGTAGTGTGCCAAACTGCTCCTCAGATTCCAGTATTACCGTATTTTGCCAGCCTATAAGACGCACTTAAGCAATATAATTATTTCCATGTCTCGCCATATGGCCAGTGACATTCTTATAACCTTCTTGCACTGGTGGGTTGATGATCCGTCACTTTTTATGGTCAGTAGATAGCTTGAGACACACATGTGTCCAAGAAAATCTGATATCTCCAGCTATTCTCCTCCTCTCTCCCTGATAAACAGACAAATTGTTAAGTGTTTATTAACCCATCATCAATTGTGACCAAGTCCCTGGTTGATGATCTGACTTTCTGTCTCATTTACACACAATTGCAGGGTCTCAATTGTTTCTCTTACTATTGACAACACAACATACATATATTGTTTCTCATTTTTTTCTTTATTATTGTTATTAATATTATTACTGTGTTGTGATTATTATTACTAATTTATTATTTTATTTTCAATTTTGTATTTTTTATTATAAATTTTATTTACTGTGAATTCTTATTATTATTACATTCTTGCCCCCAGGCCCCGATTTGGGTCAGTGACCTGTGCTCGGGTGGGCTAATCCCCGTAAAAAAAAAAAATTATATATAGAAGAAAACCACAAAAGTGTCCTTAAGTGAAACATGAGCCATTTGAACTAGGAACATACAGAACTGTATACTACATTAATAATGTTTCTAGTGATGCCTACAAACATGAACACAAGGGTATCAGCTTACCTGGAAGAGCTGTAGGGCTTCTTCAATCATGTAGGCTACAGCTGTACTCAGTGTTGCTGACAGGTACTGTAGATCATTGGGAGCCATCTGAAACTCATGAAACATATGAAAGTACAGTCATGAGCCGCTTTATGTCCGTCCGAACAACATCATCCGATCGCATATACGTCCATGGCCCATAAAAATAATAAGAAAATAAAGGGGATAAAAAAAAATCTGTAGCGGACTTAAGTGGCCTTAGAGCGGACGGCGCTCACGCATGCATCACGTGTCTTAAACAAAATAGATTGTGCTGCCAGGCTTATGATGATACAGTACAGTAACTATACATCCATAATATGTTTTGATAGATATAAGAAATGCCTATGTTACTGGTTTATGTTCTTAACCTATGTGTTTCATTAGTTGTGACACGTTATATAGTGAATTTAGTCAATATTGTACAATACAAGTACACTGCAATATTCCACATACATGTAAGTATAAATACAAAGTTCACAATGTGATGTTCAGACAACGTCCAATTCGGTTAACGTCACGTTTCCAAGAACGATCTGGGACGCGCACGCATGACTGTACAGGAGAACCACTAGACGGGTACTTAAATATTGTCCACAGATACACTTTGTCGGACTCTCTATTCACAAGAAATATTTGTAAAAGTCCGAAAATCCAGGTCGGTCCAGACGACGTAGTTCTCAGACGCTGCAGTGGAAGTCTGTGCATGGGTGTCGACAGTGCATTTCAGTTTGAGTCCTGCCTTCATATGTATAGTATCAGTATGTCACACATCACTACCTACACTCATTTACGTGAACTTTTTATGTACAGTAGTACAGTACAGTACAGTGGTCCCTAGGTTAACGAACGCCTCAGTTAACGAAATCTCGGTTAACGAATTACCTTCCATAAGAATCTTCATTTCGGTAAACAAAAAAAATTTGGTTAATGAATTCCTTATGAATTCCTCTCAACATGTTTTCGCTTACTCACCAGCTGGAATATTAGTCTGCTAATACAGTAATCGGTTCTAGGGCTTATATTTGTCCCCATCTGAGTAACTATCAAGAAGGTTGTACTATTCAATAATTTTACAAGGTTTATATTAAAATTCTTAGTAATTTTAACACTTATTTAACATAATTGAAGTACAGGAAACTAATTTTAGCGCACCAAACAGCCACTTGACTCACCCAGCAGGCGTCAGTTTGTATCTCTGGTCATTAGAGATAACATCTAGACTTTGAACATAAACTATTTTTACATTTTTACAGTACAATTATTGGTCATTCTGAAATTTATTTTACATATTGATATTATACAGTATAGTGCAGTGTTGATTTAAAGAAAATAATCTTTAATTACAGCTAGCTAATTTAAAATTTTAGTGGTGAAATTACTGAAACCAAAATCCCATTGAAACAATCGCTGAGTTAACAAAATTTTTGGTCAACTAACGACCTTCTGGAACGAATTGTGTCAAGTAACCGAGGACCACTGTACATCTTTTTCTTTAACGGGATACTTGAGGGTTTTACAAAATAGGCAAAAATAATATAGAGAATGAATATATAAAAAACAAATTTAATGAAAGAACAACACTTGCTCACTGAATACTGTACAGTGGTGTAATCAGATTTGTTGAAGGCCTACAAGAGCTACTAAGTACAGAGCTGAGGTTGTGTACGTATATGTGAACAGGCTGAAGATGGCAAGGGAACCGAGCATTGCCGCATTTGCCAGGTTTATTTATTGATTCAGTCCATGATTATATTCTCGCTTGATCAGCCTCATATGGTCTGTGATTCATCTTTTAATATAACATCTTTAACCTGTAGATGGTCATCAGGACTCTCCTTAAAAGTCCAACCCTGTTCAGCCAAAATTGTGTTTTCAAACCAGCTGAAAAGCTCCAACAACACCTAAGAAAATCACAAACAAATTGCATACTGAGATTATTCAAATGTCCCATGGAGTAACCAAATGTCCTCTAGGACGCCATAATGGCACAGAACTTCCCTCGAAGTTGAGGTGGAGGATTCACCAAGCCCACTGTACTTTTGCTGAATCTTTCAATGAAAATAAATCCCCACACTTTTTTATCATTTATAGCTTTAATATATATATAATATATATATATATATATATATATATATATATATATATATATATGTATATATGTATATGTATATATGTATATATGTATATATGTATATATATGTATATATGTATATATATATATATATATATATATATATATATATATATATATATATATATATATATATATATTATATATGTATATATATATATATATATATATATAATATATATATATATATATATATATATATATATATATATATATATATATATATATATATATATATATATATATATATACAGTATTACCCTCACTAACGCGTTTCACTTAACGCGTTTTATCATATATGCGAGCCTCGCCAGAGCTGAACTTACTTAACACGATTTTTTTCCATATACGCAGAGTGTCCAGCTCGAGACGCTATTTTTAGATTTGCCCACCCTGCCTGACTGCCTAGCTCATAAAATTCATACAAATTACCCGCCAGAATATAATTTATATTGCTGGAATTCTTATAATTTGGTGATCATTTTGAATATAAACATCATATTTTTCATTAGACATACAAATTTTAGATAAAAATTTTCAAATTAACTATGTTATCTTTTGTGCAAAATATATGACATTTATATTCAAAATATTCCTGGTCTTACAAGGAATCCAGCAATGTCAATTATATTATCCTAACTTTAGTTTGAGGTATTATTTATTAAAATTTAGTGGTTATCCCACATCTCCTTGGGACGGTTGGTGGGGGTGGGGGGGAGGGAGGGACCGACCGACCATCTGTTACCCGTGAAGAATTATTTTTTTTTATTAACTGAAGATATTTGTTTTAGCTCATAAAATTACAAATTACCGGTCATATATTTGTGGAATTCTTTATATTTGATGATCATTTTGAATATAAACATCATTTTTTGCATTGTGACATACAAATTTTAGATAAAAATTTTTCAAATTAACTATGTTATCTTTTGTGCAAAATATATGACATTTATATTCAAAATATTCCTGGTCTTACAAGGAATCCAGCAATGTCAATTATATTATCCTAACTTTAATCTGAGGTATTATTTAATACTAAATGTTAAAAACCCTGGAAGGGAGGATTGGTGGGGGTGGGGGTGGGGAGGTTGACTGACTGCGGTTGGAAGAGGGGAGGCAAGGTGGGGTACTTTGATTGACAGATAGTGTTGTGAAGATTATTTTTTTATTAACTGAAGATATTTGTTTTAGCTCATAAATTCATACAAATTACCCGTCAGAATATAATTTACATTGCTGGAATTTTATAATTTGGTGATCATTTTGAATATAAACATCATATTTTTGCATTAGACATACAAATTTTAGATAAAATTTTCTCAAATTAACTATGTTATCTTTTTGTGCAAAATATGACATTTATATTCAAAATATTCCTGGTCTTACAAGGAATCCACAATGTCAATTGTATTATCCTAACTTTAGTTTGAGGTATTATTTATTAAAATTTAGTGGTTTTCCCCAAAATTTCTCTTCTGAGAGGGAGTTGAGTCCATTATTTGAATGGACATTAACTGGCGACTGTATTTTCTATTTCTCTTGAATTGTGTATGTACCATCATAATTAAGATGTTATTTTTACTACAACATGGGTATGTGCCTTCAAAAGTGGAGTTTGGGGGTCGGGCCGGTTTCTATTGAATTAATCCCATATGTTCTGTTGTTCATTTAACGCGGGACCCTCTGGGTTCAATTGACCGCTATATGGGTACAATCATATATATATATATATATATATATATATATATATATATATATATATATATATATATATATATATATATATATATATATATATATATATATATATATATATATATATATATATATGTAAATAGACCCCTACTCACTTATCATTACGTGACTTCATAATTGCGACTTCATTAACCTCAGATATAGATAAAAAAAAAAAAAAAAAAAAAAAAAAAATTTTTAATAAAAATCTACAATGAAATACAGCAGTAAAAGTAATGAATAATGATGAATGGATACAGTACAGTGAAAGTAATAAATATAAGGAATGGATACAGTGTGACTGAGCACTTAACCTTTAATGTAGTCAGCTGAATGCACATGGGGCCCCATAATTTTCTAATTATACATGGAGACTACATTAACTGGAAACGTTTCGTATAGAAAAATGCTCATTTAATTTTTTTTTTTTTTTTTTTTTTTATCTATCTGAGGCGGTCGTGTCCCGACGGTCGTAAGTCCACGTGAATGTAAGTCGGGTCTATATATATATATATATATATATATATATATATATATATATATATATATATATATATATATATATATATATATATATATATATATATATAATATATATATATCCTCAGTTAATCTACCGTTAATCTAAATTTCGTTAACGAACTGCCTTCCATAAGAATCTTCAATTGGTTGATTAATTTCTTACGAACCCACTCAACATGTTTTCGCTCACTGGCCGGGCAACCAGCTTTAGTATCAGTCCGCCAATACATTAATCGGTTCTAGGGCTTAAATTCCTTACTATTTTAGTAAATATCAAGAAGTTTATACTATTCAATAATTTAAAGTTTAATATTCAATTTTTAGTCATTTTAACAATTATTGAACATAATTGAAGGACAGTTAGATTCCCACTTAACGCGTCAATTGAACCCAGAGGGTCCCGCTAAGGGAACCAAGTAAGTGAACAACAGAACATATGGGATTAATTCCAATAGAAACCGCCTGACCCCCAAACTCCACTTTTGAAGGCACATACCTATGTTGTAGTAAAAATAACATCTTAATTTTATGATGGTACATGCACACAATTACTTAAGAGAAATACAGTCGCTAGTTAATGTCCATTCAAATAATGGACTCAACTCCTCCCTCTCTCACACTACACTCCCTGGCTCTTCCCTCTCAGAGAAATTTTGGGGAAAACCACTAAATTTTAATA